GACGGACATTATTCAGCAGCGTGCCAATAACACTTTGATAAGGAAAACAAGGTATGTTGCGTACTTTCGCAACACAATCCTTTAACTTGTTATGGTTAAAACCAGGTTTCATCAGACCAAACTGCCCAGTATCTAGCAATACGGAAGCATCCGCAATAGATTTCTTTTCGTAGAGTCATTAATTACACCGCAAATTATACCAGTTTTAAGCATTAACATATTATGGTAAGGTAATAATTCCGCAAGGAATTTCCGTTGATCCATGTGACCATTACAAATCCCTGTGTGTGTGATATTTAATGTGAGTTTCGAGCTTTGTACTTATCCACAAGAGTGGACTGTCCTTGGTGGGTTCCACGTATCCTCCCTTACACACGCTAACCTCAATTATGTTAAAGCTTTAACGCCTGTAGTGTCCAGATAAGGACGAGGACGCCCCAGTAAAAAACCGACCTTTTCTGTTGTTCCCTCCCTAACTATTTCGTTGCCAGGGGGAGACTGTAACAAACCGAGCTCTCCGGTTATGAATCTCATGGAGTGAGCGATAATATAACTTAAATCAGTTGTCTATCTTTATAATTTTCATAATAACCTTAAAATCCCTGGGAAATGTATGCTAAAGCATGTATTTTTTATTCTTCTTCGTGCGACTAGGATTACTCCTGTTTATCTGCCTCTTATTCTGTTTCAGCCGTTGTTGACTGTACATTATCTTTCCACCTTTTTGGCGGCCTTCCAACGGGTCTTCTGCTATACGGTTTGTTGTTTTTACAGATGTTCGCTAATCTATCTGGTCCCATTCGGTTTACATGTTCGTTCCAGTTTTTTTTCTTGTTTTTATCCACCTGTTAATATTTTGAATTTTGCATTCTTCGCGTATACTTCTGTTGATTTGTCTGTCTCTTAATGATATACCCGCTATTGATCTTAATACTTTCATTTCGATATTGTTGATTTGTTGTTTCGTCTTTCTTGTATCGGTCCTTGTCTCCGCTGCATATGTTAGGATTGGTCTTAGTGTTGTCTTGTATACTTTCATTTTGCTTTCCGTGGTCAGATATTTGTTTCTCCATATGGTTACTCGGAGGCAACCACTTACTCTTGCCGATTTTGATGCTTGCCTTGTGGTCTCTGTTCTTATATCCCTGTCACTAGTAATCTCTACTCCTACGTAATTGAATTTCATTACTAATTTTACAATTTTGCCGTCTATTTTTAGTTTGCATCTATGCGGCTCTTTACTGATCACTATACATTTAGTTTTTTCTACTAATATTCTCATATTAAGTTTGTTTGCTGTGATATTGAAGGTGTGGAGCTGTAGGTCATCTTCGTTATCAGCAATTAGTACTGCATCATCGGCATAGCATAGTATCGTGATTTTATGCGCTCCCATGTGCTATCCCTGTCGTTTTCTTACTTCGTGAATTATTTATTATTTCATCCATACATATCAGGAACAATGTTGGGCTTAAACGTTTAAATGTTTTTCATTGTTCGTATCATTTCATTACTAATTCCTCTTGTCTTCTGTATTATCCATAATTCAAATGAAATCGTAGGCTTCCACGGCCAGAGTCAGAATTATAGTTTATTCGTCTTCCGGGTTTGGACCGTGTCATTTGTGAGTGACCCAAAAGTGGGTTCATCTCAATGGGGTTCTCTCAAAAGATGAACCCACTTTTGGGTCACTCACAAATGACACGGTCCAAACCCGGAAGACGAATAAACTATTATCCATAATTCGTATAAATATAAAATGAATTTAAAATTCAGACAACTTGGGTCACTCGTACTTTTAACGGACTGTACAACAGAACTAACAACTTGTACACTGCCATAAAGGAGGAAAACCTAATTCCAGCAATAGACGTAAGCGGCTATATAATAATCGGTTAGAGAAGTTTCATTAAAATAGTTTTTATTGATTAATAATTTTATGTACAAAGAACCGTTATATTTCGCAAAAACATTGATATTCATTTGTAAAAAGTTACATAATATTATTGTATTTACAACATCTGTACATCTATTGACAAAAAATGGTTCAATATAAACTTATTTTTTAAGTATAAATCTTTTTACAGTATAAAAACTATAAACGTTGTAGTATGTAAAAGGTTATGATAAATAAATAACATATTAAATAAAACAATACTAAATAAAACTAATAACACTAGAACTAAAAAAATACGATAAAAATAAAAATTCAAACAAATATTACACTAATATTTGTCCAACAATTACATCCAACAGATTTTTTACATTTTTATAATTTATACAAAAAAAGATACTAACTGCCTATAGAAAAATTATTGTCGATCAATAGATCTATTAATTGTCGATAAATGAGAGATAGTTCCTTAAGGCCTTTCTTTAAAGCATTTTCTCTTTCTAATACTTTTAGTAGATAGCAAAAAAAATTTTTGGAGGACGATTTTTAAAGTAGAAATCGAAACGACAAATTTTTCATATTCTAAAGTAAAATTTTGGTTAATTTACAATAAAAATTAATAAATGTTATTAAAATGCTATAAGAAAATAGCTTCAAAACAATACTAAATACGGTATTTAAAACTAATATGCAGCTATGTTTAAAAGGAAAGATTTTTGAACAATGTATGTTTTCAGCGTTGATTTTTGGTGCAGAAACTTTAACTCTTTCTAAAAAATCTGAGCTGGCCGATCAGGAAAGTCTATGGATTCAGAGCTGAATAGATCTGGCAAATAGACAATTAAAAACGAAGAAATCCTATAAAAAATTTAACAAGACATCTATCTATTGGTCAACCTCTACAAATCTATGATACAGGAACAGTTAAGAATGGTTAAAATCTATTTTTATTAAAATACTGAAATAAAAAATCTCGAAGAAATTATTAATCTTATGAGTGAGGTTCTTAAAATTTTATGAAAGATAGTTTAAAACTAGTACGACAGTGGTCCGATAAGCATGTACACGGTTAATGTCGAAATTTCAGCCGAATCAGGCTCTTAGTTTTGTTTTCACCGCGTGTGGAAGCGGGCTTGTCAGCGGATTTTAGATAAACGGAAAATATCCATCTCGATCGATAATTCGATTCTTGTTCTTGGATGGGAAATCACGCAGCGAAATCAAAGAGAGCTTGGATGCTATGTACGGTGCCATTCTACTTCGATAGCAACGAAAGATAGCATATTTGACGCTGTTTAAGCGCAATCGGAACGAGTTTCTGCGCCGCTTTGTGACTATCGACGAAACACAGATCCACCAGACACCAAGGAACAGTCAAAACAGTGGATTTCACCTTGAGAACGTGCTCCGAATAAGGCGAAGAGTGTCCTATCGGTCGGAAAGGCGATGGCCATCATTTTCTGGAATTCACAAGATGTGTTCTAGATTAACTACCTGGAGAAGGGCAAATTGGTCACAGGGCTCTAATATGATAAATTATTAGGCCGATTCGATGCCGAATTACAGGAAAAATCGCCCCATTTGGCGAAGAAAAGTGTTCTTCCACCATGATAACTAACCGACTCACACCTGCACCGTTGTCACGGCCAAATTTGTAAAATTGTTGAATTGGTTAAAGTAGAAGTTTCGCTGAGAATGCAAGAAAATGATATAACAACCTTAAAAATAAAAAACTGGAGGAAAAAAGCACGAAACAGATCAGAATGGAGAAGAATCCTGGAACAGGCCAAAACCCAAAAAGGGTTATCGAGCCGTGATGATGATGATGAGAAGTTTCGCTAGATCAAGCGGTAGAGGTACCGACCTACAAGGGGCTCATGATACAAGTGGACAGAACGAGTTTGTTGCTAGTAGCATGCGCCTACAGGACTGTATTTGCGACGGCCTTGTGGACTATCACGGGTTGCGTTCCACTGTAGGTATGTGTTCCAACAGTAGAAAAGAAACATATCTATGAGAGAAGAGAGCATTTGATTAAAGCAATAAAAAAAGAAGAAAGAAAGAGAAAGATCAATGGAAAGATAGCAAGAAGAGAGGAACAACACGGAAGATGTTGTTCAGTGGACTGAGAAGCTGATCCCTACCCTAAGGGACTGAGTGGACTGTGGTCACAGGCGACTGAATTATTTCCTGACGCAATTGCTTAAGACTTGCGGACATGGGTATCTTAGGGCGTATCTTCATATTTTAGGTTTAGAAAGACAAATACAGGCAAATGCCTGTCGAATACTACGACACTGTTACTCACACAATGCTGCAGTGTAGTAGAACAACAGTGGAGAGAAACAGAATGTATAAAAAATAGGTATGAACCCCGTGACTGTGAGAGGGATGATCGTGAAGATGACGGAAAGTAAGGAGAGATTGAATATTGAACACAATTACATCCGAACGGTCATTAAGAAGAAAGAAGAAGAGAAACACCAACTAGACCAACTACAGAGATACGATCCAGATAAGAGAAGGAAGTGTTCCGAAAATGTCGTCAGCCTTACAGCGGCCATCCCACTTTCGAAGTAGGATACGGTGCGACACTCAACTGTGCACAAGTAAAAGAGGGTGGTTTTAGTTAATAGGCAAGATATCAGGAAGGCATCCATTTGTAGGACCTCCTTCTAGGGAGAAAGGGCGGGAAAAGAAAAATATATTAAAAAATGCATCGCCTATTTTTTTTTTGAATATTCGTTTTTCTTTTGTAGGTTAAGTGCTCTTCGGACTTGCTTGGTATATATCTGCTCTGCAGAATCGAGCAAATAGAGTGCTTACTTTAAACCTTGCTCCTTGTATCGATATTGGTTTAGTAACCTTTTATCGAGAACCTAAAGATGGGCTGAAATTGTAGAGCGCGAAACAGGCCCTCAAGGTTTTTTCATCGCCGGTAAAAACTTTCCGCTCATACATATTAGCGACCACAGTGCTAGTTGTATGTATATTAATCTCTGAGTTTGTAAATAATGACAATGTGACTAACATTGAAGTGTCTCTAGTCTTTGGATGAAACGTTTATAATTTACATTAATCTATAGGTAAAAACGGTAGCTTCTGTTTATTCTTTATCGGCGTTGATCAGGACGCTGTCTAACCATTCGGTCGGCGAATACAATTTCCTAGTTTTTGGACACTGCAGAGATAAGAAACCCCGATCTATAACAACACTTTTCTCCACTAAAATTTAAAAAAGAATGAAATTTAATGAAAAAACATCTTTTAAAGGTCGCTTATTATTACTTACAGATGCTAAAACTTTTGTTCGGATTATCCCAATTTCTTGCCAATGGTTTAACTACCTCTGGTTCAACACCAACTTTTCTTCTAAACATAAACATTTTTGATGCGTCAATTTGAACTGAAAACATAGTTTTATTATTAACAATTTATAAATTACACTTTTTTATAATTAATATTGTACAAATAATCAATATTCGTTAGAATTAATGGTCTTTTGTGTAAATATTAGCACATAAATGATAAAAATAATATAATATTTAAATATTTCAGGTCTTTAAAATCGAAGATTGTTAAAAAAAGTTACAACTTAAAGTACATATATTATTTTTTCAATTATGTAATATTAAAATTTAAGTAGCACAAGATATAACCACAAAGACATACACAAAATAACATGGATGAGAACAAAATGTCCGTAGAGGAGTCAAATAGACTATGTATTGATTAAAAGACATAAAAACAATCGATAAATAACGTTAGTGTGTGCTCATAACGAGATGCCGACCCTCGCTCGTACTATAGGATGGTATCTTATTATCATCGCCAGGTAAAATAAATATGCATTATTTTTAAAACTGCCAGCGTTCACTGTCAAAGCGCAGCGCCCAGCCTCGAGCCAGGTATCGGACCACAGACTTGAACCACAGTATAAAGAGGTTTCACAGTAAAACCACTCGTCTGTCGGCGCTTTGATCTTAGGAAGTAATACCGGCAAAGTACGAAATTGGTAATCCACCACCGTTAACCTTACCGAGCCGTATTAAAATTTTCTGAGCCTACTACTATAAATTTATTTAAATAAAAAATGCGACTTCCCATATTTAACTGTCAGATGTTCTCACTAAATGTTAATATTACAAAAACAAAGGGTTTAATAAATTAAAAACAATATTATAATTCATTGTTTATATTTTTCAACGGTATTTTAAATATCAACGGTATTGCGCAAGTTTTAAAATCTCAATGGTTTTTAATATATTGTACATGTCATATAAACGTTAAATAAAAAGGAGGTTAATTTCGAAGCTCTCACGGCATTACTATACTCTGTTTTTAAACCAGGAGGAGTACCTAATTCAAGTTTACCGCGTCATAACGCTTGTTTATAATTCGTCCAACGGCAGGCAAGTTTACTCCACTGTTATGAAATTTTGACATTTATGAAATTTTGTCCTTATTTACATTTCGTAGGTGAATTTGGTTATATTGGCGATTTTTTGTGTTTTCTGCATTATTCGTTTAGTTTTAGTTGTAGTTTGCAAAAAATTGATTAAATTTTGCAATAGTCTTTTCGTCAATTCAATCGCGTAATGTGCAAGAATACATCAATTAAAATTCAAACTGCTGAAAAGATAACCATTTATTCTATATACATATTATGCAAAGTTTTACATGGTTTTACAGTAAAACCAAATCTTAAAATTACGGTAAATGAATGAAAAAAATTTTTTAATAGTCTCGAGAAGCTTTTTATGTTTTATGGTGATTTTTAGCCACAAATTTAAATAAAAAAATTCTCTTCGTCTTTTTTATTTTTAACAATTTCAACAATTTTTTAATAAATTAAACGAATATCAACTATTCTAAGGTCCGCTTGCCATTATGCTAAATTCAGTACTGAATTTAGCACTAAAAATATTCTATCTACAAATTAGGTGCGCGCGCCGATTCAGTACTAAAAATTAGAACATGTTCTAATTTCTTGTACTAAAAATGATCCAATATTAACTAAAACAGAGGTTATGTTACGTATGTTTATGTTTTGTTTTTAAATATGTGGAGTCAAAAGCAAATAGAAAATTTAATCGAACTATATAAAGCAAATCCTTGTTTATATGTGCCAAAACATCCATTATACACAAATAGGAATGGGAGAGTAAAAGCTTTGGAAGAAATAAAGGCGGAATTGTACAAACTCCTTTTTTGTTTTGTTTACTCTAATCATAAAACTATAAAACAAACTTCAGATAGGTTAGACTGTCAATACAAAATTGGTAGAACGCAAGCCTACATACTAATTAAAATCAAGATAGTTGCAAACACCAACATAAATTTTTCATACTAAATCGACTCGCGCAACTAACTAGTATTTTTAGCACTGAAATTAGTACTGAAATTAGCATAATGGCAAGCGGACCTAATTCGGAAATAAGCTACAATTTAACTTGAAAAAATAATTTTATTAACGTTTTGTCTTCCAAGTCAGACGTCGTTGTCAAAATACAAAAATAAATTAATATTTTGTATTTTGACAACGACGTGCGAATTGGAAGTCGAAACGGTAATAAAATTATTTTTTTAAGTTAAATTGTGTCCTAGTAAGGACGTGAGGAGTCAGATCAACAAAGCATCTGCATTGTCAGGATGTCTGCCGGAGATAGTCTAGTCAAATCCATTTTTAAACCATAAGTAAATGCAGTGATCAAAGGAGAATGAGTTGATGCGTTTTTAAGAAAATTATGTCCAGTGTTATCCATTGCACAATATTATCCACTTTCAGTAACTTTTAGGTTGTATGAATTAGAAATCAGTCTTAAGAATAAGAAAAATACTTCGCCAGGAATAGGAATATATGTACGTTATATTATGTTGAAAAAATTTTTATCAAAATAGAAAAAGAACACTATTAATTTTTTTAAATCAAGAACAAATCAAATCAGAAGATATTTCAGATAGTTGGAGAGAGTACTATTCTCCTCCTAAAAAAATGAGGAACTTGGACAATATATGGCAAAATAGCTCTTGAAATAAATATAGAGCTGCATAAGAATTTATTATATTATAGAAGAAGTAATTATCAAAAAAATACATTATAAAACTAAATTATGAATTACTTAACTAACTAAATTATCAAAAAATATAAAAAGGATTATTTATTAGAAATTAAAGTTAGTATTCGTTTACGGATAAAATTGTATACAAAACATGACTTATAAGTAAAAACAAAAATTAAAATTTGAGAATGGATTTAGTGTCCGCAGTTATCCAAACAAACAACAAGTTTTAAAGCTAATTATGTTTCCAAATTATTTATTTCCTATGCCCTTTTGTATTAGATACTTTAAAATTTCTATTAATTGTTGTAAGGATACGTATATGGTATTTTTTCGAATAAGCTAACGTAGTTTTGTAAGATTTTCGGTTGATGACTAAAATTTTGAAAATTCTTTTGAAAAATAATTTCCAAATCTGTAACATACTGCACAAAATTTTGGCTCGGCATATATAGCTTGCCAAAAACGTTTGTTTTATTACCACTGTAGGCTTTAACGTAACAAAACAGAGACGAATCGTGTAGTTCATCGTACTCTCTCCCATATGCTTCACAGATTAGACAAACATATTTCCTAAGACACTTTTTTATTAAATAACTGCATATATATCTTGTGAAGTTTTTCTGTAATTTATTTGAAGTTTGATATTTTTGGTCATCCAAAGTGTTTTCAGGAGCCAAAGCAGTGGTTTCAGGCAGATAATCGTCGGTACATATATCGGTTATATTTAACAAAATATGGCCTGCATCTCTTTCGCAGTTTTCTGTACCACAATGCATCATGTCTAAACAAAAATATCTTTTGAATGCTGCGGTAAACTGTAACGGAGTAGGGTTAACACAATTGCCACCTTGCTGCCTGATTGAACCAAAAAAGGTTTCTAGCCAATCTTGATTCATCCGCCTTGTTAAAAAATAATCCATTCCATGTGACTGTAGTAGATTCCACAAATGAATCATCACTCCATTAATGGTTATTTTACAACCATTAACATATTTTATTCTTGGTATTACATTTTTAGCTTTAAAATTAATTACCTGTAAATTATTAAACAATCGGAAACACGTATTAAGAAATTCTTGCTAAGCATTGGTTCCTCTATACAGTCTTTGGTACTCAGTTGCTCCTCTTAATGAAGAAGAATTGAGCATATCAAATAAATTATTAATGTTAATAATAAATCTTTCGGTTGTTGTTGCTTCCTCGACGAATACATTAAATCTAATATACAGATGCAGACCGGCAGCAACAGTGTTACTAAATATCTGAGAAGCATATTTCACTTTCATATTTTCAAAATTGTTGGAGATATATGTAATTCGGTCAATTTTGGCGCTGTATGTATAGGATATTGTTTATCATGTTCGTAAATTTTTTTAATAAATTCCCAAGAAACGATAATATCATCAATAACAAATTTGTTTCTTAGGAAGTTATTACGAAGTGCTTTTAATAAATGAGGTGTATCAAAAGAAAAAACAATTTTATTATTTTCATGATAAAAATATGGTCTATCGGCAGATATATTTAACAAATTTGGAAGTTTAAGATTATTAATACTCATGACTAGCAACGGAAGAATGGTTCTCGAGCGACTAAGAAATAAGCGCAGTCGCTCTGCGCTTTGACAGATTTTACTTCCAATTTTTCGGAGAGTGGTTCTACTGTGGCACCTCTTTATACTGTGCTTGAACCATAGTATTTATTCGACCCTCGACCCTAGTACCCTACGATAGACACTACGAGGTGCCGACCACCGACCCTCGCCCTGACCATCGTACCGATCGCCAGGTAAAATAAATGCATTATTTTAAATGCGAGCGTTCATTGTCAGTGAAGTGCTATGATCTAGGCGGGGATACCATGCGATGGTCTCCATTTAAACGCAACCTTAGATCTCACAGACGGGCCAACATCGATTCGGACCATATGCTAGTGATTATAAAATGTAAAATAAAAACAAAGAATAATGAAAGACGAAAAGCACAGAGAATATGAGGCGTAGTTAAATTGGAAGAAAAAAGAAGTAAAAAGAAGATTTATAAAAGAATTAAATGCAAAAATGAAGTTCAAAGAACAACAAACGGAGGAACAGTGGAAAATATCAAATAAGGAATAAACAAAGCAGCAGAGAAAGGGGTTGACAAAGAGCAAAATAAAAGCAGAAATTATTGGTTTGACGATAAGTGCAAACTAGCAGTCGAAGAAAAGAATAAAATATTAAAGTGGTTAAGCACAAGCAAAGAAAAGGAACGACAAAAATATAAAGATCAAAGGAAAAAGACAAAGAAATTGTTTAAATAGAAAAAAAATAAAAAAGAAAATAAAAGTCACAATTCAAAAC